TGCCTCCTGCATCTGCCTGGATCACAGGGGGCTTAAATCATTTCTAGCATCTAGGGATCACTGACAGGAGTAAATAAGTATTATATAACCTTCCCCAAAAAGCATAACAAAATAATAACAGGGAAATGAGGTTAAGTGAAACCATTTCAATAATGTTACAGGCCTGCTTTCAATCAATGAACGCTGGGAAATTCAATGTCTTCAGAGGCTGTGATTTCATTTGAGCTCCCTCCACTGCTGAGCTCCTCTTCACAAAGCAATGAGTTAAAGACTTAGCAGCAGATTCATAATACATCTAAAATGTACTTCTTGTGTTTAATATTCACTGGAATGGTTGACTTTGCTGGGTTTGGTTATCGAGAGGAATAATAGTTTTCAGTTTCATTGAAGCATATGATATAATTCCATGATCTTCTTTTTATTTCTTTCTCTTTTTTCCTTTTTCTTTTTTATTTTTTTTTTTTTGGATAAAATAATCTGGAAGAAGTAGAGCAAAATGGGAGAAGAAATGATTCTACAGACACTGTTAATTATGTATCCATCATATAAAATAGCAATAATAGCATAATGATTTTTCATTAAATAGAGCACAGGAATATTTGCAATCTCATACTGCCAAGTAAGAAGTGGCTTTAAAAAACCTCCACTTATTCTATTTCAATAATGCTGACTAATTTTGGAGCAATTAACACTAAATTTAGGTGCCTACTAAGTAAGAATTTGACAATTTGATGATTTGTGCTTTGCTCTATACACATTAAGCCCAAAATCAGTCCCTTTAATGTCACAGGTTTAAAAGTTAGGCACCTGCTCTAAATTAGGCACTTGGACCAGCAATAAAGTTCAGGGACAGCCACCTTGGACTTGGGCTTTGCCACCAGCCTGCTCTGTTTTCCAGCCCCCGTAGGGCTGCAGAATAATTGCATCACCATATTTTAAATGAATATGATTGAAAGAGGTGCCACCCTGTTCTCCCTGCAGGGAGCATCTGTTGAGCATTGATCTTCATTTCAGGTGGTTCGGGGTGGAAATGAACTGACTCCAAGAAATTGCCACTATTTCATCTGGAATGCAAACTCCTGGTGCCTGGTAAAGTGTTCAGAGAGCAAATCCAGAGAGCAGCATGCTGGAACATTTCCTTCGGCCTGCTTTTCCTGTTTCTGTGGAATACAACAATTTTTGATGGTGCTCTCAGTTATAAAAACTGGCACTTCAGCTTTTTTCCTCTGTGAGTTTATCCCACGTGTCTGTCAAGGAATGCCATGCTCCATGTCATGGGAAAATCCCTTTGCAGGCACTGAGGGTTTTCTCATTCAAACAAAACCCAGCAGTGTGTTGGATTCCAGCAAAGCACACCCTTCCTGCAAAGCACAGAACAAGGTTTGGTCCTTGCAGAGGTCCAGCATTAGAAAGGGAAATGATTGCTGGTGGAAAACACAGACCATTTGATATGAAGAGCGTGAGAAGAAGGAAAGAAGCTGCTGCTGCTGCTACTGCTGCAGCTTTAAATTAAAATGCTGCATCAGCCAGTCCCTGAGGACTTGATAGAAATCTAATTAGTCAGACAATCTGGCACCAAATGTCCTAATTTCCCCAATCCATGTGGGATTTGTGTATTCTCTTACTCACTGCAGTTCTAAATTTCAACCTGAGCCTTTCTAACCCCTCTCTTTTTTCAGCGCAGACATGGGACTCCAGAGAAGGTGATCCCTATCAAAACCTAATTGTTTTTCATAAACCTTTAATTAATTAGACTCAGGCTCATGAAAGATACTTAAAATATTAACAGTTTGTTTAGAGACAAGTGCTGGATGAGGGCTGCTGCAGCCTGGTATTTCAGTGAGAACCCCAAATGTAATTAATGTGGGTGGGCACAGGCTCCGTGTGGGGTCCCAAACTGGGGAGTCCTCCCCAAAACACCCCGGGAGCAGCACAAGGAGCGTGGGCTGGGCCATGGCCAGGAGGATGGAGGCAAAGTGGATCTGCAGCCAAGGGTTAAGGGCAGGAGAGCCCTGGAGTGGTGGATTTTAAGAAAAGCTCTGGAAAGGCACCAGAGTCCCCCCAGGGTGGCTGTAGAGGGCACAGTGAAGCCAGCAGCCTCGGGAGGAGATTAACCCTGTCCTAGGGGACCACGAGCTCCTGGAGCAAGGTGCTGAGTGCCTCTGAATCCCCCTGGCACCCTTGGAGAGTGAGGATCTTGGCTCACACAGGATTTAACCATTCGGGAGTAACAGATTTGATTTTTTTTTTTTTTTTTCTCTCTAGAGCGTCTATGACCTGTCATGTCAAAGCTTTTTATTAAAGTCTCTTAATCCCCAGATTATCACCACAATAGTTTCACAGGCCCATTCCACATAAGGCAGGCCCCATTGTGGAGATGCACATTGGAGGAGTTTTAATCTGCAAATTATTGGCATGCAAGACCATGAGGGGCTGCTTTGCTGTGTTGCCCGTTGCGTCAAGGGGAATTGAATATTTATAAAGACGACTTCAAATGGGCCATGCACTGTATTCCTCCCACATATGTGCAATCCCCATGTGGCAGAGGGGCCCTGCTGAAAGAGAAAAAACCTGCCGTGATGGCACACAGGTGGAAGCTGTGCAGGCTGCATGGAGAGAGGCTGAGCAGGGCCGGGGGGAAGGGGCTGGTCCCCTCCTCCAAACACCCCATTTCCACAGAACATGCATGATTTGATTTTTAAGAGAGCAGTAATGAAAGTGGAAAGGCAGAGTTGATAATGGAATCTCCATTTCTTTCTTGAGTACCAGGGGAGGACAGCAAACAGATAAAGTCCCTGACAGGGATCTTTTGCTGACACAAAATATGCCATGTGGAGAGAAGGCTTATGCTGTATACTAAACTAATTAGCAGTTACCTTCTAGATTAAAGAACAACTCGAGCATCTGTTTCCCTGAAGCATTTTTAAAAAAAGACATGGCCCTCTTTCAAATAGCCTGACAGATTTTAAAATGTCACCTCTTGGGTCTGGGGGCTCCCAGAGGAGCTGCTGGGGAGCCCAGGAGGGACCATCCCCTCTGTGAGGTGTTCCCAGGCTGTTGGGGAGCTGCAGGGCAAAGCAGCAGGTCCCTCTCTTTTCCCTGGAAGTGTTTGTACAAACCTTGCTGCATCTCACTGTGAGAGGCACCACACAAAGCATTAACGTGGAAATTCTGTGTAAACAGGAACCAATTGGGAGCACCGTGAGCCTGAGCAGGGTGGGCTCAGGAAAAAGGGGAGCAGAGCTCCTGGCACTGAGCTGAACTGTCAGAGTCCAGCACATCCCTCTGGCTGCCCTGGCTGTCTTGAGACCCTGGCAGGGGTCTTGGAGACCTTGGCAAGAACTCAAAAACAGCTGTGGCTTCGATTTTAGCCCATGGAAGAAATTGCCAGCTTTGTATGAGGAATTACACGCCACAAGGGTTTGAGTAGTGTGATATTTTAATTAACATAGGGTGGAAAAGTAGAAATTTGGGTTTTTTTAGAATATAATTCAGGGGGTCAGGATGGAGGAATTTGGGCGTGTCCTGGCCTTCTTCTCCTTCTTTTTGTCCTCCATGTCTTGGTGTGATGGTGACACTTTTCTGTTGGTTTAAGGTAGAGATTCATAGTCTAACATAGATTATAGGAATTGGAAAAAAATTGTAAACACAGTACACATAGTTTTGAGCATATAAGGTGGGAGCCGTCCAAGGCTGACAGCAGATTGCCATGGCTTCCTTTCTGGACAGACCTTAGCAGGTCAGAGAAAGAATGTTGTAGACAAGGGAAAATAAACAACCTTGAAAATGCAATTGGGTGCATTCCTGCCTCCTTCTCTGGCTGCACGGACTGGGAAAAGGAGTTTCACACTGCTGGGGTCCTGACAAGCTGACCCTGACACTGAACCTCACCAGCTGCATCAGGGAGGCAGGTTTGTAGATATAGATAGATATAGATATAGATATAGATATAGATATAGATATAGATATAGATAGATTAGATATAGATATAGATAGATATAGATAGATAGCCATATCTACATAGCTGCGTTCTGCAGGGGGAGCAGCTCCTTCAGGTGTCCCACAGGGCCAGATCCTGCCTGAAGGTCCTCCTGAGAGCCCAGCTCCAGGTCAGGCTGCAGAATCCATCGGGGCAGCTCAGCCTCAGCCCCCAGCAGCAGTCTGGCAGCTTCTCAGTCAGCAGGTGGGGCTGAGGATAGCCCAGGACAGGGCCTGGCTCTCCGTGTGTTATCTCCTGATGCTCACCAGGCGAGGATGTCACTGGTCACAGATCTGGCTCAGGATCTGCAGGCTGGACTCAGCCCTGGCTCTGCCACAGCCTTCCCTTACAGCCTTGGAGCAGCTGCTTAGGTTTCCTCCATACCTGTTTCCCATCTGTTAGAAAATGGCTGCGTATATTAAAGGGATCCTGGGAAGATAAGTAAACTGTGAGGCCATTATTAGCTATTACACTGATAGGGCCCAAATGTTCCTATTTTCTGTAACAGCTCAAGAACTTAAGCAAGCACTAAAAGGCTCTGGGAAAATAAAGCTTTTCTTTTCTGGGGTGCTCTCTCAAAGGAAGGTGGTGTGTCTCCCTCCAGAACCAGCTCTCCATGCATTTTGTGAAATTGCAATGCCCTTATTTTCTCTAAGAGCCTTCGTTCCAGCCTGTGAAATGGCCTTTGGCTCGTGGAAACCTTCCAACGTGCTGAGTATTACCTGCAGTGCCTGTATTAATCATAATGTGCAGGTGCCAGAGCCTCCAAAGGGAAGGACAAGGGAGAGCCTGAGTAATTGATTGCTACACAGCCCCAGCAGGAGCTGTTGCATTAGTCCAAAAATTACTTTGCTTTCTGGTTCCCAAAGTTCTTGGGAGTACAAAACAGGAGAGAAGGTTGTCTGTGAATCATCTGTCATCTCTTTTGGCTACAACCTTTTCATGACTTGTGGAAAAAAAAATTATAAATAAAGTGTGGGGTGGGGGAAGTGACTAATTGAGTGCAATAATTAAACACAGATCCCAAAAAAGCTGAGCATGTTTCTTCAGCCATCAGCACCCTGAGTGAGGGGTGGGAATGCCTCCCAGAATGTGGGGCAGCAGTGTCAGGAGCAGCAGCAGCTGGCAGGGTGCAACAGAAGGTTTTCATGGAATGCAGCCAATGCAAAATGCTGGGGTTGGACATGCTCAGGCCTGGGCAGTGGAACTGGTGCAGAGAATTGTCTCCTCTTGTTGCCCTGTTTGAAGGAAGCCAAAATAAAGGAGGGTTTAGTGCTGCAAGGAAGTGAAAGGTGAGGAGTAACCCCAGCAGGAAAATCTTGTACTCACCTGGGCCACCAAATTTGCAGACAAGGCTACCAGCTTCCCCCAGACATGTGAATACACTAAGTTAAACTGGTACCCAGCTTGGAACACTTCCAATCCAGCCAATAATATCTGCAGGATGAAATAGCAGCATCAGTATTTCCCATGCACCAAGCAGAACCATTTGTCTCCAGTTGTTCCCTCTCTGGTTCCATTAATAAAGGCGGCCGAAGACACACTGAGCACATTCCCTTTCAGAACTCTCCCCAAAGTTGGTGACATTTGGAATCACAGGAGGCAGCTGCACTGTGAGATAAAGTTAAATGATGTATTCAGACACGGCACCATTCGGAAGGCTGCATCTTTCACGGGAGCCTGGCGCTGAAACCCGTGTTGTGTTCTTTAAATGCAGAATTACCCTTCCTCCTGGTTCACACATATTGATGAATACACTGGGAAGATGGCTGGATTTCTACAGAGTACCATGCTTCCTTCTCCTGACACATGGATTCCCCTGCCAACACCACAGACCTAATTAGTGCTCCCTTATTTCTGTTCTCCAGCGAGGAAGCATGTGGCACCTTTCCACAAGCCTAGAAATGCTCTCTCGACACAGACATGCACCATATTGCAATGGCTGGGATAGAAACTGGGTGGAACTGGCACTTCCACTGAGCTTTAATGTCATGGCAGCCAAAACAAGAGGGGCCAGCACCCCAAACACAGCCTGGCACAGCAAGGCAAGGGATGCAGTTCTGAGTTTCCCATCCCTTACCCACCATGTCCCCATCCCCTAAGAGCCACACACTCTGCTTCTAGATCAGTTGTTGAAACTGGATTTGTGTATTGTCCAGAAAAAAGAAAATCCAGGATCGAGGTTTGGTCATAAATGCAGATGTGATTTGTGCATTTAATATAATACAGCAATTGCAAGAGCTGGGAGGAAGAAATGGCAGGGACAGGATGAACCCTGGAGACACAGCTCTGGGAAAGGAGAAATTGGAAACCCCTTAAATGAAACAGAAAGAGGGCAGGCCCATATCTGCCTTCAGTTCTCCAAACAGAAAAAGGCACATCCCCTCCCAAACCTGGCCAGCCCCGCAGGTCAGAAATATTGTGTGAATATGCACTCGAGGTTATTGTTCTTCCCGTGCTGGGGAGAGTTATTTGAAGTCTCCTGCTGGTGTTAAATTAAATTACCCATATAAATAGCACTGGAGGTGACAGACAATAAATCCCACTGCTTTGCAAGTGGGCTGCTGCAAAGGTAGAGCTATTGTAACATGCCCTAAAAGGCTCCTATTAAAGTTCCATCTCATCAGACTTCACCTGGTGTAAGTTACTTTACAGCCCTCCCCTGCATTGATATCCAGCTCCTGCTGTACAAGAGCCAAGCCAACCAAATGTCTGAGGAGTGAGGAGCAAAGTGCCTTAATTAGTCTTCCAGTGTTATTTTTGGGTTTCCACTAAATTTGCTAAAAATCTATTTGGGTGTTCCTACACTTAAATTTCTAATTTTTATTATTTTAAAATAGTGCTTCTTATATATATATATATGGCCTGCTCAACAATTATTTTTTTTTTTAAAAGTAAGCTCCCCTTAAATATCCATCTTACTTTGCAAGGTTGCTCCCTACTGCTCCTTTTCAAGATTAAAACAAGAAGTTAAAACAAGGGAGAGAATGAATTTTCCCCAGGGAAGCTAACAAAATTCATATCCCAGCAAGCAGCATCTCAGGGAGCAGCGATGCCAGACATGTACAGGTGATGTAAAATGCTTGAAATTAGGAATTTTTGCAGTGTTCAAAAAACAACAACAGCAAAAGGCTTGGCTGTTTTGTGCTTAACAGGGGTATGGTTGTCATTACTGGATTGGTACCCACCAGATAAGAGCATAGGTAGAATGAGAGGAAAATCAGAGGCTTATTTTATTAAAAACCAGAATCTCTCTAAGCCAAATTAACCCCTGATGTACACCCAGTAAATCTGATGGTGCTACTGGGCAACCAGAGATAACCTGGCTCTATTTCTTTGTTTTCCACTTATTTTAGAGGAGACAGCCTATTTTTATGCTGCTGGCCAAGAGAGAGAGTGTGAGGACTGACAGTCAATTCAAGGCTGCAAAGTGCTGCATTGCTGTGAAGTGTTTAATTTAGATCCTTTTTGTGTTTCTGGGGACGTTGACTGAGCTGTCTACAAGAAAAAAGGTGAGGTGCAGCTCAGAAATTGCAGCGATGTAAAAAATTAGGGGGCATAAAAAAAAAAAAAAAAAGGACAAGAAAATGAAACAACAACAAAAACCTATCAAGGAGTGTGAAATTCACCTGGGTCCCTCCTAAGGGGTTTGCACATTTGTGTGATTAGAGTCATATTTATAGGATAATCTTGTCACTTCTCCTCACACTCTGTGGGGCTGTAAAACACATCACTGCTGCTCTCGGGTTTGGGAGAAGCTGCTGGAAACAGGTGGATTTGTGCACCAGGAGCAAAGCCTGTGGTCCAGGAGGACCCTACCCACCTAAAGGGTCCTGAATAATGTACAAAAGCAGGATTTCCTCCTGGTAATCTGTCAGAAACACAGGCTGGCATTAAAACTAACAAAGAAGCAAAGAAAGGCTCCATTAAAACCTCACAATCTCAATAAAAGGACCTTGCTCAGTTGTCGACTTAAAAATCTCCATGATCTCCAGAAGATTTATAAAATATTGTAATTATAATTGCTGCATCCAGTGACATCCCAAGCACTTTGTGTGCTGCCCAAGGAACATGAGGAACGTGAACAAACAGGAGAGTGAGAAGAGGAACAGAGGGAGTGGAAAAAGTGATAAAGAGGCAAAACAAAAGAGAAGATCCAAGCCTGTGCTGCCAATCCGTCTGTTCATCTAAACTGATATTTGATTTCTGAGCATACCATAACACAGCATTGATAGATGTATTTCTCTTGTAGGGCTGTCCAGTTTCATACATTTCAGGTTGCCAGTGCTGCACTGTGAAACCCCACCCAGCCCATTTTCCCCAGAAGGAGCTCCTCAGGCAGAAATGAGGATATTTCTTTTTCTGGTTGTCACAGGGATGTGTTGGGCACCTAATATATACACATTTAAAAAAAAAAAAAAAAAAAAAAAAAAAGGCATGCAGAAAGCAGGCAGAGCCCTGAACCAAAGATAAAAGCCTAAACAAGTGCACTGAAGTGTGAGGTTAAACGGAGAGGGAAAAGCCATTAGGGACAGTAGAGCTTTGGAAAAGTGTAGAAATAATTCTTAAGGAGAGAGGGGTGGTGAAGTATGTCTTAAAGACAGCAGTCATAAAAACATGGAGAGCTATTGTTGGAGCTCAAGACAATACAAATTACTTCCCCCAGTCAAAACTGACTCTGGCAGAGATCTCTGGTCTGAAGTAGGATAGTATTGCTGACTGTAAACTCCTTTCAAGGCCTGGCTGCCTGAACACAAACAGAAGCAACGTTGTCACCACAAAGATAATAAAACAGCAATCGTTTTGTTGGCTTGTCACATATTACAGCTAATTATTTAATTACTCCAATTTAAAATTTTACTAGATTTAGCACCAAAGCATAAAAATCTAGTGATTGCAGTGTCAGAAAGGAATAATATAATTAACGTATTTAGTAGTAACATATTAAACTGTTGATTGCACTGCATTAATCAGCAGAGATGATATGATCCATGGGAGCTGGATGGAGCACAGGCCTTGGTGGGACTGGGCTGTCTTCCTCCCCATCCCTTCCTTTGCACATCCATGGGGTGGGAGGTGTGGATGAGAGGATGAGGATACAGGCAGGGCCATTCCTGCTGCAAGGGTCTGTGCAGCCAACTGTCGGAACTCAAAATGTCCCTCAGACATTTTTGGATGTTCTGGGCCCAGGTCAGAAGCATTTGAGACCCTGGCAGGCAGCTGGAAACAGCTGTGATTTTGGGTTTGAACCATGGAATGATTTACCAGCCTTGCAGGAAGAACAAGAAGACACAAAAGTTTAGATATTATAGTAGAAGTAGTCACAAAGTAAAGGGAAGAATTTTTGAGTGCTGTACAGGGGGGTTTTGGTTTTGTACATGGGGGTCAAAGGTTTTAAGATGGAGAGATTTGGGCCTGCCCTGTTCTCCCTCTTTCTTCTTCCTCACCTCCATGTTCTTGGTGATGTTGGCACTCACAGATTGGTTTAGAGTAGAAAAGCACCATTTAATATAGGTAATAGGCATTGGGGAAAAACTGTACCCATGTAACACGTAATGTACCATATAAAAGATAGAAAAGCACCATTTAATATAGGTAATAGGCATTGGGGAAAAACTGTACCCATGTAACACGTAATGTACCATATAAAAGACAGCACAGCCCTGGGCGGGGAGAGAAGAAGCAGTCGGGAGTCAGAGAGGATGTCAGGGTGTGTGTGTGCCTCTGCCTGAGCTGTGAGCAAACCACAGCAGCCCCAGAAGAAAATCTTTTAGATAACTTGCAATAAACTGCCATGAGACCAGACAACAGAAGACTGCTGAGCCTTTCTTTGACAGTACGGGTTGGAGGAGAGATTTTTTTCACCACATGGAGCCACCCCCAACTTAGGGTGAGCTCCGGCAGCAAACTGGAGGTGAGCTGGTGCCATCGGCACAGAGGCACACGCTGAGCACCCTGCCCCATCCCCACAGCCAGGCCCAAGGCACAGGGGACACGTTTGGGGACATAGCAGACTGTGAAGGCTCTTGCTGGAGGTCCCCTGAAGCTGCTCAGTTTTGCCAGAGCTGAGCCCTCCGAGCTCAGCTTCACCCTGAGACACATGGCCCAGACTGAAGCACTTCAATGAGCCAAGGTCTAATTCCCAGGGTTCTCCATGATACCTTGTGAGGGCTGACCTAGAACAGATGGAGCTAAAGCAGGGATTTATTAGAAGGCCTTCATGGATCCACCTTGGGCAGCAGAAGAGCCCAGCCAGGGCTGTACCCAAGATGAACCAAAATGGTCCCAAAATTCACAACCGCTCACAGGATCTCTCACTTTTATAAATTCTGCTCCATTTGCACATTGGAGTTCATTGTGCAATTCCAGCTTTAGCCCAGGCAGTCCCATCCTGCTTGTTTTTCTCTCTCCAGCCCACGTTGTTTGTGCTCTTGGGCCTGAGGTTTGGATCATTTGTCCTTGGTGCCCAGCTAGAGGAGGAACTGTTTTGTCTCCCTGCTTGGTGAAGAGAGCTCACCATCCCCTAATATGAAGCTCAGAACTACACACTAAAGCAGTACAGAATCTGAAAAACATAAAAGCTAAAACCTGAGGCATCATTCACAACACACCAAATTCAGAAGCAGA